TGCAGTGCTACAGGCTGGGGACAGGGGCGCTGGAGAGTAGCCAGGCGGAAGGGGATCTGGACATTTGGATAGACAGAAAGCTGAACATGAGCCAGCAGTGTGCTCAGGTGGCCAAGAAGGTCAATGGCATCCTGGCGTGGATCAGGAACAGCGTGGTCAACAGGACCAAGGAGGTGATTCTGCCCCTGTACGCGGCATTGGTGAGGCCACACCTTGAATACTGTGTATCATCAGTTCAAGAAAGGATACTGAAGTGCTGGAGCAGGTCCAGAGAAGAGCAACGAGGCTGGTGAAGGGACTCGATCACAAGTGCTATGAGGAGAGGCTGAGGGAGCTGGGATTGTTTAGCCTGGAGAAGAGGAGGCTCAGGGGAGACCTTATTGCCCTCTACAACTCCCTGAAAGGAGGTTGGAGTCAGGTGGGGGTTGGTCTCTTCTCCCAGGCAACTAGCAGTAGGACAAGAGGGCAGAGATTTAAGCTCTACCAGGGGAGGTTTAGGCTGGAGGTTTAGGAAGAGGTTTTTTTATGGAGAGATTAATCAGGCATTGGAATGGGCTGCCCGGGGAGGTGGTGGATTCACCATCCCTGGAGGTTTTCAAGATGAGACTGGATGTGGCACTTAGTGCCATGGTCTAGTAACCACGGTAGGGTTGGATTCAATGATCTTTGAGGTCTTTTCCAACCCAGTTGATTCTATGATTCTATGATTCTATGCCATGAGTTCACTTGTCCTCCTGATGAGATGCCAATCACCAGCCTATCTGTTACATTTATAACCCATCTGGAAAAAAAACCAAAACAAAAGCAATATTTCTGACTTCGAAACTTTCTATTTGCATTCTTTGTCCCTCCTATGTGGGGAGACATATCTGCATTCTGTGACTGTTGCTCTGTGCAATCCTGATTCCTCAACATTATCCTTGAAGAAGTTAGCTTCTGTTCTATCAGTTGCTTCACCACAAAAATGTGGAAATTAACATTGTCTTCATCTCCCACTAAAATATGCAGATATACCAATTTAGTGCCACTAAAAAGAATTCATTTGGCAACAACAACCCCTCAACATATTTTCTTCACTTTAAAACTAAGGAAAGAAAATTGCTCATGCTTTCTAGAAGGCATTTACAGGCAAATAGATCACGGGATATCAGGATTCCTCTGCTGAAGGCAACTGTGTGCGTGGAGACAGTGGAGGTAAGAGACCTTTTTCTATACCATGATACAGAGGTACTCTGTAAACCACTTAACTTGTAAGCATTAGTAGCGTGCCTACCACAATATAAATGTGGATCTACCCTCTCCTGACTTGTCTTTGTCTTTACTCTCTACAAGACAGATTATAGAAATTTTCTCAATTTAGGCAACTAAATAAATGTTTTCACAGTACTTATTCATAACAATCTCACTAGTGATAAGTAGTTCTTGCTCTTTTCCCCCCTTTTCTTCTGCAACAATAGTGTACAGAAATAAACTGCAAATAAAATGAAATCTAAATGATGTTTGACAATTTCTTACTTTTTAATGCAGAAAATACGTTCATATCACTATATAATTTGTTAACTGTATCCATTGATCCTCCCCTCTTCCATTGATTATATGTCTGCCTACCTTGAAAATAGTTACTGTCTATTAGAAAGAGATGAGATTGAGATCAGCTGCACAGAGTGCAGGAAATTTAGTAAATTAAAATTGAATGAGTAAGAAACAGCCAAGTGCTTTTAAACATGGGCCTTTAAGGAACCCTTTTTGAAGACAACATTATTTTTCTTTTTCCTCTATATTTTGTTTTGCCATTCCATACCAGTTCCTGAACTCAATTATTTTTGAGATAAATTTTTGCTCCAAAGAATGTTATCTTCTCTACAATGTATAATAATATCAGTTTTGAGAGAAGTCTAAGTTATCTTTGGACATATTAAGAATGCTTAGTCAAATAAAATACTACTTGAAACCAAGAAGTTGTGTGCTATAACCACCTTTTGTTCATAAATAATGAGTATTATATAAGAGTGAAGTGTAAGCCAAATGAACAAGGATTTTTTTTTCCTGTTCTAAATCAAGAAAACAATGTAAATATCTCGTTCTACTTCCTACCCCCTTCGTCTCTTCTTTTTTCAGCTCAGAACTGTGTGATATTTTGCTTCAGTAATGGCTGCTTGTCTTTAAAGTGGAAACTTATATTGTCTCTGTATATATTCCATTCTTCCTGTGCACAGCAGTCCTGACAATTAAAGACCTGGGCTCCTATAAGTCTCTTTCATTGCAGTCTACCAGGCAGGCTGCTAAGGAGATAATGTCTGTGGGCCAGAGGCTAGTTTAATTCATATCACAATAAACAAGTTAAATAAATTTCTATCAATAACAAAGAGTGTTGGAGTACACACGTGTGGGAAAAACAACCAACAACAAAAGCCCCTGGGAGACTGATGGAAATTATTTCAAAAATACAAAAATTAGCTTCGTAAATACAGGACAGAATGTACAGCTACTCAAAATTTGAGAAGTTTCATGTCTAATGTAAACATGCCCATGACTAATGTTAGGAAATAGTTTAATAAATTACTGAATAGTCAGTGATGACTTATAGTGTGAAAATCAAGAAATAGGTCCTTATATTAAGTGTGAGAAAGGATGTTATCTTCTCGGAGGCTCCAACCTACCTAACACCTTATGTTAAATAATTTCCCTTCTTCTGACCCATGAAATTGATCCCTCATGGTTTTCTCAGGTACAGTTCTTACTCTGGCTGTTCCCCTGGCTGGCTGGCTGAAGATGTTGAGGAGGCACATAGCAACTAAAGCATTGTAATGAATACTTGGACATTTTAAAGACTCAATAAGAAGCTGACTTGTCTGCATAAGAAAGATAACTTCAGGTGCTAGTCATCAGTCCTGACATCTGATTCCTATTTGGAATATTTTAAAAAGCTTCTACTTCAAGGAAAAAAAAAAAAGATAAAACAATATTTAGGTCACAAGGTGAGGAATATCTCAACAAGAATGAATGTGCACAGGAAATTGTCCTGTGTGGCACAAGACAGGATCATCTGACTGGCAAAAGCTGCTGTGTTTTGTACTTGACATGTCTACCCTTTTTTACTTAATTTTAATATGAATATAAGACACAAGTATTTTTCATGAACTTCGTAACTGATTACTTCTTGCTCTGCATTCTGTGTCAAGATTCCCATAAAGCACTGAAGTTTATTTCCTCTGTAGTACCTATAGAGCTGCAAGTTCACAAGAAACTCTTTGTTGACTACTGTATGCATATTGTACATAACTCTGTCAATCCATTTTTTCACAGCTATTTGCAGATATATGCTGAATATATTAGGCCCCGAACTATTTTGATGGTCATCTCATCCAGTCTTATATCTGGAAGATCAAAACAATAATCACATAAAATTTAGTGACTAGTATTATGCTACAGTGTTAAACTAGAGGAAAAAGTCAAAGTGAAGAATTTGAACAAAATCCATCACAATCATCTTTCATACTGGTAGAGTAATAAAAATTTGCAATGGCTCAGCTGCAAAACATGGAGGTAAACACTGGCAGGGATGAAAAAACAAGGCAAGGTTTAAATTATTTCTCTAAGCACTATCTAGAGTAATACCTTTACCAATACTGAACAATATTTTCTGAGGTTGGTAATATACTATATTTTTCTACTCAGAAAAGTAAAAAAATTGCTGGGATAAGATTCTCTCTGTTCACATTTAAAAAGGTTCTAGGCCACTGATCTGTGGCCAGTTGTGATTTTAAACATATATCTAAGGAAAATATACTACAGAAGATCGTAAAAAAGGAACTCTGAGTCCCCGTAAATGAAATTAAAGGAAGAGACATCTGAAGAAGAGCATTATGTGAGAATTTCTAGAGCCAGGGTCAGTTTCAACAGCTTGCTTTGGCTTTGGTTTTAGGCACTTTTTCGTAATGGTGCTCTATGGCAAACTAATCAGTGTCTGTAAGTTCACAGGGATAGAGTTTTGAACTTTTATGAAGAGGTGGAGTAGGACTGTTAAAGCCCTCTTGGTGCTTTGAAAATTTACCTCCTAGCGTTCTTGAAAATTATTTCTCCTGTCTGGACATGACTAGAAAGAAGAAAATAATTAACTGAAGTGAAATGAAATAAAAGAGGGAAAAAAATCAAACCCCAAGAACCTCCCACCAAAAAAGGAAAACCAAACAACCTCCCCTCAGAAAAAAAGCCAACTAGGAGCATAACTTACTTAAATCAGAATGTTAATAGGTGATTTGGGGAAGTTCAGAGGCTGCAATACTTACAGCCCATTTCTTCTATGTTCTTTCAAGGTAACTGGTTTCCTTACCAGCAACCAATAAATTAAAAGCAAGTGTTATTTTACAAATAGATAGTTGGGAGATTTCCAACACCTGTGATCTTCAAAAAGGAGAGATCTGGGCACTTATGTACAGACTATTCAAAGAAATGCAATTTTTTGTTTTAGGTTGGTCATTTAAAATAGCATTCTGATATCTTTTACAACCTTCCATGTCCTTATGAGTTTGTTTAGAGCTATTTTTAGTGTATGACTGAATCTAAAACTTTCAATTTTTCTAACAGTGAAACAGAAGATAACCACTACTGACCCTGATTATAGTCAAGACTGTACAGACATTCATATATGCTGAATGATTTGGTCTGTAATAACAATATATATATATTTATAGCATTCTTCTTTTCTACCTCTCTGAAGCTACACACTGACCAAGATAAAGGAGATGGAAATTTAAAATACATATTAACAGGAGATGGGGCTGGCAGTCTGTTCATTATAGATGAAAATACAGGAGATATTCATGCCGCAAAGAAATTGGACAGAGAAGAAAAGTCCCTGTATGTGCTACGTGCCAAGGCTATAGACAGAAAAACTGGAAGACAAGTGGAGCCAGAGTCTGAATTTATCATTAAAATCCACGATATCAATGACAATGAACCAAAATTCACCAAGGACATGTACACCGCCAGTATTCCGGAGATGTCTGGAGTTGGTAGGTAAAAACTTATTCTTTTGTAAAATGCAAATGGGTTGGAGCTGATTTGGAACATACAAGTAATTTATTATTTGAGGCACTTAATACTAGCTTCTCTGAATATCCATGGAACAATTCCTGTTGCCGGTAATGTATCCTAAAGTATTGGTTTCTGTTTTTATTCATTTGTTTAATCTTCATCCACTTTTTAATCCTTTTTCCACACTTTAAGCTACTCTTTAGTCTTTTAATCCCACTGGAACCATCAAGGAATGGAACATGTGTGGTTGTCTTATCAGTAACTACATAGTTACTACTACATGCAGCTGAGAATATCACTTGCATAAAATTTATTCTCTTTGTACTTTAAAGTCTAATTTACAAAATCTTTCTGTACCTTTAGACAAAAACATTTTTTAAGCATACAAGTATGTAAATGAATTAACATATCAAAATGATGTAAAACATGTTCCTACAAATGCCTTTTTCATTATTTTTTTTAAATCTTTGGTTTCATTGTTGATAGTTGCTGTTGTTGGGATTTTTTTAATATGGATTTGTCTGTTTGGCTGTCAGCATTTTTGTACCAAACATATGAACCCTGTCCCCAAAGAATTAAATAATTTTGTTTCAAAAATATTTTTATTCATAAATTAAAACTTACAGCTATCCACAACTGCTGCACCGAAGAGTAAAAATGTAGAGTGACAGCAGATGTTATGTGAGAAATATAGCATAAAAGGAAAATAATTATCTGAGTTTTTCTTAAATATATGAAGTGATAGGTGACATTCACCAGCACATATTCATCAGAATTTACCATGTTTACTTAAGTACTCCACTCTCTTACAGCAGAGACAGTCTTTCTGATAAGATGAGTAAGCATAAAATACATAGGCTATAGGGAACAACTGACAGATAAATTCTTAAGATTTAGTTACTTGTCATAAATTACTGTAATGGTTTGCAAAATCAGCCCTGGATGATGACAGTATTAAGAGAGACAATAAATTGTCCATTGACTCTTGAGATTAAAATGTTATCTTCACAAAATAATTTCTGGAATCTAATAATTATCTCTGTGAGCAGTTGAGGAAGTATAGCAGAACAAGAATTTATTTTATAATAATGAGATTATAAAATAGTTTTATACTTATTTTACTGCAATAAAATATCTTATAATGTATTGATAAAAATTCTAATATTAAATTATTATTTTCTAATCATGAGAAGGGGGCATGTAGACTGCTATTTGTAATGTGAAGAGTCCAAGGATGGTTCTTTTAAAGATACATGATAGAGAAATGCTTTTCATTTGGAATTTACTTTGCTGATGATTACTGAAAGAAAAATGTTTGCAGTGCACCTGTCATATTTAATTTGAAATATATTTGTAAGGAAGGAACTCTATGGGAAGAGACAGGACAAAAAGCATGATGTTCATATTTAACCTTATCACTTAGTCCAACTTCATTAGAGTCAGTGAAGAAGCACGAGTAAAAGGGAACCAAATAAGATCCAGTGCTTTGGCACTTCCTGAGAACGACTGAGTCTATGAAATGTCTATATTTGATGAGGAGGATGATAGTATAAGTACCATGATGTACTACTTTAGGCTGAGGAAGAGTCCCTCTAAGACCCAAGCAAAGGTGAGTTTTACTGTGAACAAAGAATTTGAGGAAAAGGCTATAAACAGTAAAAAAATGCCCTTTGGCTTCCAATATGGGGGAAAAAAATTAGTAAGGAAGTAGGACCAAACCTTTCAGTTTGTTCTGTACTGTAGAATTTTAAATGGAATTTGAGGTTAGGAAGTCGTGTAAAATAAGTCATAGAACCATAGAATCATATAATATCCTGAGTTACAGAGGATCCACACAGATCATCAAAGTCCAACTCCTGGCCCTGCACAGGACAGCCCCAAGAATCACACCATTTGCCTAAAAATGTTGTCCAAACTCGAACTCTGGCATGCTTGGCACTTGGTGCTGTGACCACTTCCCTGGGGAGCCTGTTCCAGTGCTAGGCCATCCTCTGGGTGTCACCCTTTTCCAAATATCCAATCTAAACCTCCCCCGAAACAACTTAATTCCATTCCCTTGAGTCCTATCTCTTATTACTTGAGAGAAAAGTGCCTAGCACTCTGCTTCCTCTCATGAGGAAGTTATCAGTCTCCCCTTCTCCAAGCTGAACAAACCAAGTGACCTCAGTCACTCTTCATATGGCTTTGCCTCTACTCCCTTCACAGTCCTCCTTTGAAAGCTTTCTAAGAGAGTCCAAAGATGTTAGTTTCTTTCTTTCTAGTTTCTTTCTCATATTATGACACACAGAACTCTACTACTCAAGGTGAAGCCACACCACTGCAGAGCTGAGCAGGACAATCATCTCCCTCAAGTGTCTGGTGATGTTGGGCTTGATGCACCCCAAGACATGGTTGGCCCTCCTGTCTGCCAAGTCATGAAGGAAGAACAAGCTGAAAAATTATTGATTGAGCAATGCATATTAGGGCTGTTGCTGCTGTGAAAGTAAGTGCTTCTGAAAGAAAAGGACAGAAAATATGCTGAAAAATTAGAAAGAAAAAGGAAGGAAGGAAGGAAGGAAGGAAGGAAGGAGATTCAGATCACAAAAGTGCATTTCAGAAAACAGAAGACTTCAGAATGAAAAAATTATATGCCCCTTAAGTCTGTGTTCCTCTATAACAAATGAATGAAAATAAGAATAACAAAATGAAGGAAAAAAATCTCTGGATGACAGTGATATTCTTATGATAAGCAGTTCAAAAATCTGTTTCTTCCAATTCTTTACCTCTTCCCAATTTTCTGACTCAAAATACAATTTTTAGAGTATTATATTTATTATGTTTGCCAAGGCCAACAAATATAACAGCAGATATTTATGAAAGCTCAGGAAAATGTCACTAAGATTGAGAAACTGAAGAGGAATCATCACTAGCAATGTTTCCAACTGCGTATATATCTGTTATTCAAATTGCACATCATACTATGTATTTCTCAGTGTGTTACTGACTATTTCTTGGAATAACTAGGTCTAGAGCACACAAGGGAAAATGGTAAGTCAACACCTCTGACAGAATGTGTGATTTTCAGTACCAATAAGCAAATCTCAGTCATGTTTAACTAGTCTGATAGTAAGAAGAGTGAAAGCATAACACGGATTTTCAGCACAACCTATTCAAGCCCGAGGGAAATATGAATGCTTATTTGTGCACTAGCTTGTGCAGCCATCAAGCTATACATAAATTAGCCTTGCTATGCCTAAATGGGATCTAGACCAACAGTGTTATGGGTATACCTAAAATGCTGTGTAGCAAAGTTTGTACTGGAAGCAATCAAAACCACTGAAGTGAGCTGACTGCAGTGTCATTTCAGATAAATTTTATGGAAATGATCGCACTAAATGTTCATAGTGATATTAACTTATAAAGTTGAAAGAGAAAGTTGGTTTAAGAGATTCTAAGACTCAATAACATGGAATTTCTCATTAAAATCAGCTGCCATACTGAAGAACTGTAAGATAATAACTGCTGTAGCTATATTTTTGAAGAATGCTGAAGCTGACAGGAAGAAACCTAAGATTTATGTCAGACTTGGTAAAATGATTCAATAAAAAATAATTCCAAAAATAAGAAAATGAGCCTAGAAAGACCCATAAAGGTTAATCAAGACATAATATAGAAAGCAAATTTGCAAGAGACGTTCGACATTTTAAATTGATGGAATACCAAAGCTGTAAGATACAATCTTGGTCACACTGAGGAACAGGTGGATTTGAAACATGAACTATTCTGATTTGCATGTCAAAACCCAGAAAGTTTCAGAGAAGCTAAATACATTTAGCATCATGAAAATAATTTTTTCATTTCCTGTTAATGTAGAAGGAGAACTACAGCCTTGATCATGCTTAAAATCTACTCATTTCATCTTACATTAGTATAAACCATGGTCCAGGTATTTTTCCAAGTGAAACGTGATTGCTAAAATAACAAAATAAAATAAAATCTACACCTCATTTTGAAAAACACTATTTTGTTTTTAAATTAATAGAGTTATTAAGAATTGTTTTAATAGGTGAGTTAGCAATAAGATGTCCTGTGGAGTTCAATCACTTTTGTCACCTGAGTCAGTATTATTACATCCCCTTGTACCTGCTATGCTAATTTTAATGAGTAAGGCATACCATTTTTGTCTCATTAAACATCTTTAGCATGCAGCTGATGAGTATTTCACAATATATTTTTAAGCTTTGCATTGATCCTCTTAAAAGATGGGACAATGCCTAATTTAATTTAGCAGTCATTTATTCAAAATTAACTGCTATTTTCTAGATTTTCTAGATCTAATCAAAGATACCCAATGTAATTCAGGATTTCCACATGACAATATTTGTATAACGCCTAAGTACAGAGGGGCATATGTTAAACAGTTAAATTTAGAACATCATGTTTTCATTCAACAGCTTATATTGAAAAGAGTCAGAATAAGAGAGTTTTTCTTTAGCTGATCAGTGAAGTTTGATGGAAGAATATTATATATGAAATATAAATATGGCCATTTTCAACTCAGGCAATCAGAATTATAGCATGATGAAACATGCCTTCTATTTACTCTAAATAAAAGATATACATAAAATGCATACACATAAAGAAAAAGAGAGATGAAATAGCAGTAAAACACACAGGGCAATATGCATTAATATTACCATTTTTATTACCACGCTATTGTCTGTGAGTGCAGTAGTATATACTGCAACACGAATTGTACAATGATTCTCTTGGAAGTTCCATTATCATTGTTCACTATTTTTATAGTATCTCTTGGGAATCTATAATCATCACAACTACTACTGCATTTAAGTAAGACTGCACTCCATTCTGATGTTATTTTTTTTTTACATCATGTTTTCAGCATTGCTCCATTCTGATGTTATTTTTTTTTTTTACATCATGTTTTCAGCATCACATAATCACAAATATATTTCTCAAGAACAGTTTGCTATTTTGT